TAACAGCCGTCAACAAAACCCCCCACACTTAGCTCTTTACTCGTCCCAAGTAAAGGTTAAGGATTAATGTGGAATAAAATTTTCCAAGATACAATACAAGTACACATTATTCTAAGCCATACTTGTGCCTGTGAACTTTTGAAGTGTCTAACTTACCATCTTGGGCAATTGATGAATGGAACATTTGTGACTCAAGTCCTCCTTAATCCTCTTGTCAATCTCTTGGAGTTTTTATATATTTTCGCAAAGTAGCTATACTCCTCAAATGACCTTCTCTCAGATCACTCATGTGGTTTTTATTTGTGGATCCTCACCAAGGCATGTTTGCCGAATTGTCCCTATTCTAAAAGGTTGTATAGGTGGAGCTCGGTAGGGATAAATCGGGGCATACCTGCATCACATATATTGCAAAGCCAAAATACCGAACCCAAGGAGATAGCAAGTCATACTCTCTGATCAAGAATGTGCATGTGCGTGGTATGTGTATGTGTATAGAAAATTGTGTGGATGGAAAAAGGAAAATAAAAGATAACAACTCCTTTGGTATACCTCCTCCTCCAATTTTCTCTATTTGGAAATTTGAGAGAGTGCATGCCCCATACTTTGTATGAGCAAGATTCTCTCTATTTTTCTTTCTTTTTTTTTCATCAATGCTCCATACTTGTATGAGCAAGACTTTATTTTTTTCATCTTTTTTCATAGCCATGCCTTTCTTATCTCTATCTCTCTCTCTTTTGGAAAGAATTTTGGAGGAAGAGGAATAAATGATGTGGAGTGTTTATTTTGTGGCTAATGGATAAAATAAATGATGAATGATGGATGCTAGCTTCTAGCGTAGAAGTTTAGCATACATGTGTATATGGAGTGTACGTGATCTTAATCATGAAAGTATGAAGAGCATCTCACACGGGTCACAATAATTTGACAAAGCTCAATGTAATGCCAAGCAGCCTAAACATATATCAGGATTTTGCAATAAGAATCGTATATGGCCTTGGTAGGTAATAATATATTCACTGAGGAGTATTGCTCTAATTTTTTTTAATTTTCGCAAAGATAAAATCCCAAGTATCATGACAGTTGGACAATAATTTCTTTTGTCATAACCATATCACATATATCAATTACTTAGATTAGCAAGATTCCCTATGATAGATAGTTGTTCACAAGTGACAAGTATTAGCAAAGAATAAAAAGCATACATGATTAATCATAGGAAAATTTTATTCGTTGAGAGTTAATGTTTTCAATTTTCATTTGGAATCAAACTAAATTATATTCAAGTTTTCTGCCAAGTTTAACTCACAACCAGGGGAGGATAAGGAAGGAGACGCGCAAACCTGACCACACGGCGAAGGATGACAGAACCGAGCCAGGCATGGGTCGGATGAACACTTGGTTCGGCCAACCCAACCTAGACTTGGTTCTGACTGCTGAGTTTTGTGCATGGCCGTGGGATGGTATTCATCGCATTGTCATGTTGAGTAGATGCTGTAGCACGTCAGGAGTTCCGAAAAGACTCCCCCACACTTGTTTTGTACCTTATCTTTATTCAACAAAAGCATCGAAAGCAAAACGGGCTTTCACCGGGGTAAAGTACCGGTGAGCCAAATTTTATTCAAGTAACTCTAGGCGCATGAAGTGCCTAAATTTATTTTATTCTATTTCACTTTTATTTTTTTATTTTTTTATGGCAACAATGAGCATGGTGGGTATCCTAGCAGAGCGGATGTATGACGTCATGATACACAGGGTGTTTGAGATTCTTACCAGATCGTACTTACCAAGCTTTGAATCGAATCGACTGTAACAAAGTATTGCATTTGCTCTGCTGTGCATCTTTGTTTTCTCATAGACCAAGGAGAGTGCTATGAATGTTGAGGTTATTGTACACTGCTCCTTAGTTGTCTTTTTATTTCCTGCAAAAAAGGTTAGTGGACAACAAATACCCGATGGACTACAAAAAATTGAAAAGATTTTATCATAGCCTCAAAATTAGTTGTTCACATCCATGCTATAAAGGAATTGGATTGAAAACTTAATGAGCGTGGATCCCTGTAACGGACTCAAATTTCAGGGAAAAATTTTTGCAAAATATTTTAAGTCATGTACTACTTGATTCTTCCGTTGGAGTAATCTCTGTTTTTAATCTCTTGTTTAATTTGGATCTAAACTTTATTTGCAAAGTTTATCGCTCTTTTTTTAATTTTATAAAAAAACCCTCTGTTTATTTTATTTAATCTTTAACTTTGGCTCTAAATTATATTTCCTTTGAATCCATTCCCGAACACCTCCAACAAATACCCTTTCAATTCCCGTTCAACTATCTCTAGAGCACATGCAATATCAATCTCTCTAGAGTTAATATCTTTTCATTTAAAGCTTACCACACTACCACCAAATCTAGTTTTATCTTCCACCAAATACTTCCCCTTTGATTTCTAACCAAACACTTGAAATACCAATTCCTATGTTCCCCATAACCAATATTTTCCTTTTGATCTCTACTCAACTATTTCCAGAATACATGAAAGGCAAAATTTGCTACAGGACATGCAAAAATCGTGTAATTGGCTGAGGGACATCCAAAAATATGACACTGCCCGTGGACACTATAAAAATTGTGTAATTGGCCACAGGACACTGGACGCATTATTTTATTATTAATGGGATGAAAGATGTGAGATTTTTTTTGAAATGCCCTAATTGCCCCCGCGCTCCCGACTGGGTCCGGTCGAACCAACCCAACCTAGTCGTCTTCTTCGCCACCACCCCACCCACCCAAAATCCCCAAACCTAACACTAACCTCGCGATGGCGGCAGCGTCGGCGGCGGAGGAGGAGGCTGCTTCGGCTTCGGCGACGGCGCACGGTGACTGTGTCCTGGCTGCAGCGTGCAGGGTATTCGACGGTGAGCCCGTCGAGCTGTCCGCGAAGGTCCTGCTCCTGCGGTTGCGCTCCGCGGAGGCCATCGCAGGGATCCATGGCGGCTACTGGTGCACGGTGATTGCATCAGGCATGAACGGGTCCGCGGCGGTGGAGATCCTCGCCTAGGTCGAGGCCGCCTGTGCAAAGCACGGCGCGCGCCTCGCCAGCGAGAGCGCGTCGCTCGTCGTGGAGCGCGACTGGGACGACTACCCCTGGCACGTCGCTCGTCGCGCACACGACCGTGCCACTTCATGTACCAGAGGATGGGCGCGGAGTTCATCTCGCCGGACCACTGGCCGTTCGTACAGCTGGTGCGCGCCATGGAGCGCCCCGAGGAGGCGCATGAGGACGACCTCCCCGCCGCCGGCGCCGGCGGGCGGCTCGCCGTGCCGTCCAGCGGCCGCGCAGCAGAAGACGCCACCGCGAAGCAAGTGCAGACAGTGTAGACGACGCTGGCACAGTGCGCCTCATAGCTGTACATGTGCAGTAGTTATACCAGTACTACTGCAATTCCAGCGATTCCTTTTCATTAGGAAAATTATACTGATAGATGGTGACCCGCAGGGGCAATCTAGGCATTTCGTAAAAAATCTCACCACTTTCATTCTGGAAATTATAAAATAATACGTCCGGTATCCTATAGCCAATTACACAATTTTTGTAGTGTCCACGGACAGTGTCACGTTTTTTCAGTGCCCCTCAGCCAATTACACGATTTTTGTCTGTCCTGTAGCAAATTTTGCCTACATGAAATGCCATTCTATAACCTCCCTAGAGTACATAAAATGACAGTTTCCAATTTCCTCAGAGTTAATACTCTCCCTTTGAACTCTACCCAAATATCTTTAGAGTACATGAAATGTTGATGCCTTTCCTTTGGATCTCCACCTAAATATTTCCAGAGCCCATAAAATATCCCTTTTCAATCCCTCCTATTCAAAAAGTCCAAACTTCCTTTAGCCACAAATATTTCACCAAAAATCCATACCACACATTTTGGAGGCTAAAATCCTAGTTATTTACCTCCATCTATTTTTGTCATCATCCCAAAATTTATCCAAAGTTAGTAGATAAATTATTTGTATTTCCTTTCCTTTCCATTCGGCTATTTTAAATTTTAAATTTTAAATTTTAAAATATTAGAGAAAATCTTTTTGACAAGTTTTATATTTGGTTCTTATTGAGTTCTATAATATTGGAGCATCTTTATTTTTATCCTTTTCAAAATTTATATCTCAAAATAAATATCTTTGGTTTTATTTTAAAAAGTATTTCAAACCCTTTTGTTTCAAAAACCTTATATTCAAATTCCATTTATAAAATTCAAAAGACCCTCAAACATTCCTTTTTTAAATTTTATCTCCTTTAGTTTTCACTTCCTCGAAATCCTATTTTATTTCTTACCAAAATCCAAAAAGGTCCACATACATCCATCCATCCATCCTTTGATTTTTCATCTCCTTTGAATTCCATTCAAAACCCTCTACACAAATTATCAAAACTTCCTATTCAATTTGGGCCAAACTCCCATTCATTTGGCCCATTCCCCTTTTCTTTTCCTTCCCTTCCTCCCTTCTCTCGGGCCGCCGGCCCAGCCGAGCCGGCCCACTTAGCGCGGCCCAGCCAGGCCGAGCCGCCTCCTCTTCCTCCAGTGGGCGCCGCCACCACCGCGCCACCATGGGCGCCGCCACCGCCCAGCCGCTTCCAGCGATGCCGCAGCCGTTTTGCGCCGCCCGCACTGCCAGCCGCTGCCACGCTGCTACCGCGTCGCTTCCACCGCAAACTGGGGGCCCACGTGGCACCCCACAGCTGCGCCGCCGCCGCCGCCATTCTTGCCGCCACCGCTGTAATGCCGCCGCCGTCCGCTGATTAGTTGCCGCTGCTGCTAGCCGCCGCCGCCCACTGCTTGCCGCCTCCATCGCCCATTGTTCCCGCCGCCGCCGCGCCACGCGTCGCTCTGAGCCGCCGCCAACCACCAAACCGCCGACGACGCCCAATCCGGCGAGGACACACGTCGCCGCCTCTCATCATCCCGAGCCGACGCCGAGCCGTGCCGTCGTCGCCTTCCCTTCCTCCACCGCCTCTCATCGCCTATATAAGTAAACGAACCCCCTCTGTTTTTCCCACATCGACCGAGCTCTTCGAGCTCCGTCTCTCTTCTCCCATGGCCGATCGTCGACGCCGTCGGTCGATCTCCTCATCCGTAGCTCCTCTTCCCTTCTCCTCGCACCACCGGCATCGCCTCCATCCGTCGAGTCCGTTTTTCCCCCTTTCCCCTCTCCCTCCACCTCTAAGTCAAGTCACCACCGCCATCATCCATGCCGGCTCAAGGTGAGCCCTTGCCGCCGCCGTTCCGGCCATCTCCCTCACTTCCTCCACCTGCCACCACCCTCCCTCACTTCCTCCACCTGCCACCACCCTCCTCGGGAGTGCATCGCTCGGGAACGCGGTTTGACGCCGGTGTCACCGCCTCCCCACCACTGGAGCCTGGGCGCCCCCTCTCCTCCTCCTCTCTGTTCGACCGAAGAGAAGAAAGAGGAAGAGACGGGAGGAAGAAGAAGGAAAGAGAAAAGAGAAAAGAAAGACTGACAGGTGGGCCCCTGCACAGTAACATTTCGTATTTTCTCTATTTAATTCCAAACCCAATCTTTAGAAGCCCATATCTCTGAAACCGTAGATCCGATTCCAGTAAATCTTGGACCTAAATTCATCTGATTTCAAACCCTCTCTTTTCATACCAAATTTTCTATTTTTAAAAATTTATGTAAATTTCTTTATTTCAATACCCTTTTTCTTATTTATTTATTTACTTTCTAATGTTAAATTATTTTAATTAACCTTTAAAAATTATTTTAAAATTATTTGATTCTTTATATCCCTTTAATTTTAAATTTATCGTTTAAAAACCCTTTTTAAAATTTAATTATCCTTTAATTTCTTTAAATGCCCTTTTCTTTATTTTAAAATACCATTTCAAATTTTAATCTATTTTTAAAAACTCTTTTGAATTCAAATTTCTTTAAACCATTCTTTTACAATCCTTAGCCACCAAAAAGCCGCCATGGAAACTTTACGTCTTCTATGGAGACGTTCGCGTGGTCTTAAACCCCGACGTCAAACCGAAGATCGTAAAACCCGGCATAACCTAATCCTAAGGTCGAAGTGTCGCTCTTCTCATCCCACGCCTCAACGCGTACAGTGGTCGGAGCCTCACTGCTCCCTCGACCTCCACAGCACGCCGCACACTAGCTTTTGGCTCTGTGCAATCCTAACCGCTCTACGGTCACTCACGACTGTAGAGTAACACTATTCCGTAAACCTGCACCAACCTCTCAACTCCTTGGTCGTTGTGCTGCTTAATTGTAGCATCGACTAGACGAGCCGATATTTAGCTGTTATGCTGCCCATCTTTAGCATCGGCTAACCAATCCAAATATCTAGCCGTCGTGCTACTTTACTCTAGCACCGACTAGAAACCAAATCCACCAAATAAACCCCACCTATCCAAAATTATCCTTTCTTCAATTTTATTCAATTTCCAACCTATAGAAACCATCACCTTTCTTTATTTTTCAAATTCAAACTTATAAGGAATCATTCCTTTTTCCCCTCGCCTCGCTCCAATTTTATTTATTCCTTGGTTTTATCGTTTCTTTGTAGCAATTTGCTTATAGGCTTTATTTGCCATCTTTTTCGTATTCGTACGTTAGACCGTACAGCAAGTTCTATCGGCATCCAAGGAGCTGATGTGGACCCAGATGGCTACGCTAAAGCCGCGGAAAATCTTAAGGCGCAAGGCAAGACATAATTAAAATTTTGATCATATAGAAACCTTGATATAATATTCATATTTAAATTTGATGCATGATATTTACTCTTTTAACATCTCATGGGTAGATGTTATATTTTAGAATAACATTATGGTAATTATTAATGCTTTCTAGCATTGTTACATGAGATTATTGAAAAGGTGCATTTAAGATCATTTTATGTGGTTTATTATTCAAACATCTTTACAAACTTAGGAATCCGGTTAAAATGGGCATTTATGAATTGAGATTGTGAATATTGTGATTATAAATGTTGATAAATGATGAAGTTGGTGTGGGGAGTTTGGAAAGTTTTGGGTGGTTTAACCGGATTATAATTACCCCCTTATACCATGGAAATGACATAGTTGCGTCCATCCACACGATTAAGTAATTGGACTTAGCCTAGTACATTGTCCCACTATATGAAAGACTGTTGGTTGGCTCACTAGGAGCAGGATTGGGGTGAACGCATGCGTAAGGAGGTTGGGGGCATGGTTCACAACGGTGGAACCCGTGAAAGCAGCGACCAAGTAGCCTTGTCTAGGCCTGGCAAGTGCCCGACTGCTAGGACGGATCAATATCCCACTCGTGCAGTAACTAGTAGTAAGTGGGACCTTCGAACGGCTCTGTTGTTCTCAGCCTAGCTAGCTGTGGGCATCATGTGGGTAAAGCTGGACAGTCTCTGTAGAGGTGAATTAAATCATTCGAATGTGCCATACTCCCGGTTCTGGAGTTGTGTCATCAGGGTGATTCCTACTCCTAAAGTATAAGTAGTTTTAAAAATTAAATTGTTGAGGATAAAGATGATTTATGGTTTTTATTATTCCTTTAATTTATTATTGTTTTATTTATTCATATCTCTTCACCTTTAATTATTTATAATATGTCTTGTTAAGTACACAAGTACTCACCCTTGCATAATTTGACATATAGAGAAAACGTGCTAACAAAGAGATCAGAAGGAAGCGAGATCTACGGCAACGACAAGTTTGTCTAGGCTAGTCTACACTCGAGCTTTTGCCTGTGGAGTTCTTTGAGTTCTTTGGAGTTTATTAGTTGTAGTTTTAGTAGTTGAAGAATTTAGGAGTTTAATAGTTTAGAACTTTGGATTTTCTTGTATTTCAAATAAGGATATATTAGTTTGGATCTTTTCACCCTTTAACAGTTATATAATTAGCTTGTATGAACAAACCTGTGTAAATAATCGAAAGCTGTTCTGTATATCAATCTGTGCGTGATCGAAATCCTGGACGATCACGAGTGGATTTTTGGGGCACCAAGCCTAAATTGGGTGTCCCCACAATCCCACAAATTTGCCATAATTTTATTTTGGCATTTTATTTACTCGAGAGACATTTCTTTTATTATTAAAAACATTTTTTTCAAAACTCTTTTTTTTTCACCAAACTTTTATTCAAGCAAAACTCAAACAAAGCTGCGATAAACTTATATAACATAATAAAGGAGCATTTGGAAATATACGTACCGTGCACCTTGAGAGGTGATATGTTTCTCATTTGCATGTTTTGGCAATTGATTTGTTCCTGGCCCTTGACTTACCTTCAGCGTGACTCGTACTTGAGAACTCACCCATCAAATTTAAAACTTTTCCTGCAGGGGTTAGTCCACAAAGGGTATACATCCGAAGTCCATGAAAGTACTAGCTCTACAATTCATTTAAACAAAGTGGACACCACGTCAACTTTGAATAAAGCAGGCTATTTATCCTAAGCATCACGCTCAATTTAAAAAGCCTATGAATGTCGACGTCCACCCAAACCATAGCATACGAAAATGGACGATCAAGCCAGACTCAACTAGAGATAAGTATGAGTAAAAAAAATGGTGAATCTTTTGGTGCATACATGAGTGCACTTACCGCCAGCATGATGTATATGTTGAAATCTCTGAAGCGGTGGCATGGTCACATGTGATTGTCGATCTTTCCTCCGTCTTGACGTAGGTTGTGGCGGAGGAAGGCACTTTGACCACACCAACTCCAGCGAGTGGTTTTGGTTATGCACACATCTCTGGTGCAATAACCTTGTGCCTTGAAGGCGTGCTCCGTCGGCGCAATGCTGAAGAGACGTAGGATGCATCTCTTTTTGGGCAATTATGCAAGTGCCAACTGGAGTGGAGCAGCTAACACCTAGGAAAGAATAGGGCATCCCCTCTTGCTTGTATGCATGTACGTGTTGCGGGAGCGAGAAGTTGTGCAGAACTAGGAGTAGATGGAGGCTAAGCCAAGGCGGCACATGAGCTCAAGAGAGGGGCTGGTTGTAGCGAGGCAGCATGATCGCTACTAGCGAGGTGTATGGCCATATTTTAAAGACTCGCACATAATGCGGTCTTTGATCTAGATGTAGCCTGTCAGCGCTCTTTCTCTCTTCCTCTTCTCCCATCTTTCATTTCTCTTTTTTTTTTCTTCCGTCTCTCTTTTCCCTTTTTTTTCTTATTTTTCTCTTCTTTTTTCAGCAAGGTAAGACTAACACCAATGCAAACCAAGATGGCATTGGTTGATGAAACTCGTCACGCAAGCTCGTCGCCCCCCACACTTGGACTTTGGTGTCGCAAGACATCAAAAACCAAGTGTGATGTTGGAGTCTTCATAAAGTATGTTTCGACACCAAGGAATACCAAAATGTACAGTTGATGTAGCTCCCGAGTTCTTAGGCATCGTACGTCCCTCGTTCTTAATCTCAACCTGAAATGGTTATTGACCAAGAATACCCGAAGGTGAATATTATCCTAAAAATTGGTTCTTGCTTTTTATTGTAAAGAAAACTTACCAAGATAATCCGGGGTATCTCCCGGCAATGCTTTATTTATGGTAACAAGCTCGACTCTTCTAAACATGATAGAGTTGAGGACTGTTAGGTGGTTGTGATTCTCGCACAAGAATGTGGCACTAATCAGACATGACTCTGGAGATTCTTTATGTGAGCATGACCACTGAGGAAACTTTGAAAGAGAAGCTTTCATGCTCATTTGTGGAGTTCTCATCCTCTAGAGTTGATGTCTCAAGCTTGTCCATGGCTTGCAGGTTCTCCTTCTCAAGAGATGCATCGTGCAAGAACAAGGTTGTTTCTTGACAAATGTCGAGAACAACATTTTGATGGCCAGAGGGACAAGGTTCACGCTCGATAGGAGGTTGTGATGGTGGTTCTTTGGAGTGCAACTCAAGGGTCTCGCCAGAATCTTTTCGAATGAAATGAAGATCATCATGTTCTAGAGTAGACTCAGGGGACTCATGAAGCAGAACCGCCATTACTTCCTCTATTGGCGTATTATCAGGGAGGATGCCTATCAAGGTTTTCACATAATCGGTATGAGGACCATCCCTGAATTTAGGAGCGCAACCCGGAGCTTGAATTTCTCTGGAATCCGGCGATGGCTTCATGGAGGACTCTGTAGTCAGACTCGAAGATGTTGAAGGCTTGGGTTCAGTCTTGGCAAAAGAAGGTTCCTCCCTTCCTGACACAAATGCTTCTGGATGGGGTTCAACACACTGCCCGACCAAGGAGGTATTTTCCGATATGCGATCGAGAATTTCCTTGCCTTCGGCGGGAATTTTATGCATAAATCACCCTCCAGCAGTTATGTCAAGGTAAAATGTAGACTCCCTATCTAAACTCGTTTGAAAATGCTGCAATAGCACGTAATCGGGTATAGACAGGGTTGGACCAGACTGAACTAAATTAGTGAATCTAGACCAGGCTGCACCAATCGATTCTTTATTTATCTGCTAGAAACTCAGAATTTCTACACGAAGAGTAGTAATACGGGTTACAGGGAAGAATGCGAGGCAGAACCTATCTCGCAATTTCTCCCAGTCACCGTTTACACACCCAACGGTAAATGTGTACCATTGTTTTGCTCCCTCACGAAGAGAGAATGGAAACAATTTCCACCGAACAGTTTGTTGCTTCATGCCTCGAATCTTAAGGCACGAGCAAAGCTGTTCGAATTCCCGCAGATGATGGATGGGGTTTTCCTAGCCAAAACCAGAGAAAGATTTCTCCCTAACCATACTGATGAATTCGGAACAAATTTCATAGCCAGGTGTTAAAATAGGCTCCGATGAAGGAGGTGGCTCGTAAAATTCGCCCCGAGGAGCAAACAACTCGAAGAGAGGTCGCTCCATGGTCGAGAAGGATTGAACAAGAATACTTCTCTGGGATAGCAGGGGTAGAGGTAGAATAAAAAGGTAAAAATGATACGAGGATTAACAAGGTTTAGAGATAAACAACAACCGTTCCACGGCAACGGCGCCAGAAATGCTTGTTGGTATTTCTTACGATCACAGATAGAATCCGCAAGCGCATGGATATACCGATGTAGCACTTCCCCTATGGAGTACTCCAAGGGTATCGAATCCAAGGGAACATGTGTGATTATCTCTTCCTCCGGTTCATCCAAGGACACAAAGCTAATGTGGGCAGAGGGCAGAGAGGATTTCCTAATGAGAAACAGTGTCTAGGGAAAGCTAAAGTTTAATCCTAATGCAATACTTCAGGCACTGGCAACCCGCTGTTCCCAGATATTGCTCTACTATGTACCCGGACAGGGAGGACTTAAGTGCTCTTGAGGGCTGTCACCACCTCTACACCCACCTCAAACGTATTGTGGGATACGCAGTAACCCCTGGAGATTAATTACCCAGACACCGCGTCTACGCAATTAATAACTACTCTAGTGCCGATCAAACACTAAAGCAATCACTAAATAGACTATAGTGAACAATGATCCCGTATGCTAATTAGGAACTAACCAAGAAGTAATTCTCACTAAGCAAATCTTAATTACTCAGAATGATATTTCTATTAAAGCAAAGTAATTAACAAGATACAAAAGATAAGAAGAGATTACCGACAACTCCGGGATTCCTCTGATTCCTTCTACCTTACTCTCTCCCTATTCTAATATACAATAAAGTACACTAGAGCCTCTTGTAATTCAGCTCATGCTTTGGTGTGTGTGAATGAGGGAGGGGAGAGGGGTATTTATAGTGTGGAGCTTGCTTGGAAGTGTGGAGATGCTAGGAATATTCTTCATAGAATCGAAAGAGCATCTTCCTTCTCCTCTTGCCATATTTCCTCTCTATGACGGTTTCCACCGGTAGAAACGGCCACAACCGTCATTGGGATGAGGAGTACAACCGTCATACCAAATAGGGGCTGGACTGGGCCAGCTAGGGGTTCGGCCGAACTAGGGAGTTCGACCGAACCCTGGTTGGCTCCCCTGGCCCACATCCTTCTTCAGAATGCTAACATGTGGGCCCCACTTCATGATACTCTATGTTTTGGCTCCAAATTATTGCACAATTTATATGTTGTAGCTCAAAACCATGTGAGTCCATCAACACAGAATATATTTCCATTCTTTATGCTCATTCTCTCCCAACTTTGGTGGTTGATCACCTGCATACAAATATACATCAACACTCATGGAAATTGTTAGAAATAAATCCTACCACTATGTTGGATGATTCACATTTATGGTTTTATGCAGGTATTGACGGCGTTATTTTGGTACTTAACAGCCGTCAACAGTGGGCCGCTAATGGTGATAGCTCAGTATGGGTATTCCTCTGCGCGTGTATATAGTCCTAAGTTAATTCCCTGGGGAGGGTATTCCTCCGTATTTAGCCCCGATTGTATGGTCTTGACGGGCTATCGTAAGGAACTCGACAGTCAGGGGTGGCATCTCAAAGTACCAGGAGGGCATCGGATAGAGGGTATTAGCTAGTATATCAAATGACTAGAATGTATGTATACTATGTATACTAGAAGTATAGGAATATACTCTCTTTCTTTTTTTTTCTTTCTACTTAGCTTAGATAATTTATTATGAGAATGAGTAGCTACTGCTTGTGTGTCACTCTACCCTTGGATTATCTTAACCCCTGCTTAGGATATGATTATCACAAGTAATATATAAATTATTAGTCAAGTTCTCTCTACATGATCTTCCCACGGGATAAAATAAATACAATAACCTTGGAATACTCTCGAGTGAAATGCTACAATGGTATATCCGTGCGCTTGCGGATGAACTCTGTAACCATAATATACCAGAAGTATTTATGCGCCATTGCTGGGAATTATATTTCTAGTAATGTCGTTAAGAAATACCAACAATAGATTACAGGAAACTTAACAAGTCTATGAAAAAGGATCATTTTCCGCTACCCTTCATTGATGAAATTTTGGAACGGCTGGCAAATCATTCTTTTTTCTATTTCCTTAATGGGTATTCCGGGTATCATCAAATTCCCATCCATCCAGAGGACCAAAGTAAGACTACGTTCACATGTCCATACGGTACCTATGCTTATCGTAGGATATCCTTCGGACTGTGCAACGCTCCTGCATCTTTTCAAAGGTGTATGATGACTATTTTCTCGGACATGATCGAGGACATTATGGAAGTCTTCATGGATGACTTCTCTGTCTATGGAAATACCTTCGATCATTGTCTACAGAATCTAAATAAAGTCTTACAACAATGCCAAGAGAAGGACCTGGTACTCAATTGGGAAAAGTGCCATTTCATGGTCCGTGAAGGGATAGTTCTTGGCCATCGAGTGTCTGAACGAGGAATCGAAGTTGATCGTGCCAAAATCGATGTAATAGATCAGATTCCTCCTCCTATGAACATCAAGGATCCACAGTTTCTTGGGACATGCTGGTTTTTATAGAAGGTTCATCAAGGACTTCTCTACGATCGCCCGACCTCTGATCAATCTGTTAGCCAAGGATGCTCCCTTTGAGTTTGATGATGCGTGCCTAAAATCCTTTGAAATTCTCAAAAAGGCACTCGTCTCAGCTCCAATCATTCAATCTCCTGATTGGACTCTGCCCTTCGAGATTATGTGTGATGCAAGCAATTTCGCTGTTGGTGCGGTCTTGGACCAAACCAAGGATAAAAAACATCATGCAATCTGCTACGCTAGCAAAACTCTAAACGGAGCTCAGTTGAATTATGCAACTACTGAAAAGGAACTGCTCGCGGTTGTTTTTGCTATCGATAAGTTTAGATCTTACTTGGTGGGAGCTAAGGTAATAGTTTATACTAATCATGTTGCTCTAAAATACCTGCTCACTAAGAAAGATGCTAAACCATGTCTCTTATGATGGATTTTGCTGCTCTAAGAATTTGATTTAAAAATTAAGGATAAAAAGGGAGTAGAAAATTCTGTAGCAGATCATTTGTCTAGGCTGCAAATCACTGGCACGCAGGAATAGCCGATAAATGATTCCTTGAGAGATGACATGCTGATGACAGTTCGCGACTCCAACCCGTGGTATGCCAACATAGTGAACTACATGGTGTCAAAATACATAACACTGGGAGAAAATCAGCGGAAGCTGAAATACGAGAGCCGCCGTCATATATGGGATGAGCCTTACCTGTACAGGGTCTGCTCCGATGGCTTACTTAGAAGATGTGTGCCGACTGAAGAGAGACTTAAGATTATAGAACGATGCCATGCCTCACCTTATGGTGGCCATTATGGTGCATTCCGCACCCAGGCCAAGATTTGGCAATGTGGTTTCTTCTAGCCGACAATGTATGAAAATTCAAAAGAATTTGTCCGAAGATGCCCAAGCTGCCAGAGACAAGGAGGAATCACTGCTCGCGATGCAATGCCCCTCACATACAACCTGCAAATTGAGATATTTGATGTTTGGGGTATCGACTTTATGGGACCTTTCCCTAAGTCCCGTAACTGCGAGTATATTCTGGTGGCAGTCGACTATATCTCCAAGTGGGTTGAGGCTATGCCATGCAGCGCCGCGGATGCGAAGCATGCCAAGAAGATGTTCACAGAGATCATCTTCCCAAGGTTTGGTACCCCTAGGATGGTCATAAGTGACGGAGGTTCGCACTTCATCGACAAAATCTTCCGAGACCTTCTACGAGACATGGGAGCCAAGCACAACGTGGCTACACCTTACCATCCACATACCAGCGGTCAAGCAAAAACGCCAAATAAACAAATCAAGAATATTCTGCAGAAGACGGTCAACAAAATGGAAACATGATGGAAGGAGAAATTGCCGGACGTACTGTGGGTATACCGAACAGCATACAAGACACCCATTGGACTGTCCCCCTATCAAATACTCTACGAAAAGTCATGCCGACTCCCTGTAGAACTCGAGCACAGAGCATATTGAGCCATCAGGAACTGGAATATGGACTTTGAAGGAGCAGGAGAATAGAGGAAAATGCAAATAGCTGAACTTGAAGAATGGAGAGAGAAGGCATATCACAACGCTAAAATATACAAAGAGAGGACGAAGCGTTGGCATGATAAGAGGACAAAAATCAAGAAATTCAAGCCAGGAGACAAAGTGCTGATGTTCAACTCCAGGGTTAAGCTTTTCTACCATGGGAAATTGCGCAGTAAATGGGAAGGACCGTTCGACGTCATCGACACCTCTTCGCACTGGGCAATCACACTCCGCGACGATTCAGGTAACATATTTAAGGTAAACGGTCAACGCTTAAAGATTTTCCTTGAGCTGAATGAAACTTCAGATAAAGAAGTAGATATTATTGAATATCGATTATGAACCATAATGATCTCATCTAATACACACTTAAAACCTTGTAAAGTTGTCATTTTTGTGCTTAGCTTAGGTCGGTGTGGGGCCAAGACAAAAATGGAGGCCAACCGAACCCACCAGGGTTCGACCGAACCTACTAGTTCGGCCGAACAGGGTGGCACCCGTTCAGCTCCATTTTCGAATGGTAGTCTCCCCCGCTCGTTCTTAATCTATTTAGATGCGAGTTTAGAGGTAGAGCGATCAGATCACGCCCCTGAGTTAGTTCTTCTTCATCCTCCTCCTTTGCAAAAGCCTCTCCACTCAATTGCTCCATCTACTCTCAAACCTTTGATCCAAACCCTTGTGCCATTCATGGCTGGCAAATCTCTCATGCCATACATTGGTTCTTCCTCAAACAACACCTACAATCTTGAAGGAAAACCTACGCCAGCGAATCAACTCATTTCGGTGGAAGAATACACGATAGAATGGGTGAACGTTGTGTGGGCTCAACCCCTCGCAGCTGTGCCAGGCTCCCCTGCGAATCTGGAGCCAATCGGCGAGCTCCCTGGTTCGGCCGAACACTTCTTGGCCCCGTTCGCCCCCCCTCCCCTGCCCGTTCGGCAACGCGATCCCTCTCCCGCCACCATGTTACCAAGACTAAAATCTGAAGGGATACGCTTGTGCGACAGCCGACAACGGGCGAGCTCGATATCTTGAAGGCGCGACGTCTTTTCCAAGACGATGAGAAGGCCGCTCCGCCTCCCGCCGAGCGATATATGGGCACCCTATTCACCAAGGCAGGGGATGATGTGCTCCACAAATACACCACACCTACCGCCACTCTGTCCACTCCCAAGAAGGAGTGATTTTGCATTCGGGGAGTGCGAATTACCGGCGATGGGTATGGTAAAGGTTTGCTCCGGCCTTTGATGGCATCGGAGAAGGAGGGGCAGCGGAGTCCCGTAGCCCTCCACCTATGAAGGTGAAGCATCATTTGATGCCCCCTCCAATTGTAAGGGCACCCGGCCAATTCCAAGAAGATGAAGTTAAATCGCCGGAGCCCTCGGTCCATAAGATAGCAGCGCAAGTGAAGAAGCTCCGGAAGGAGAATATTGAGCTTAGGGACCGTAATGCAGAACAAGGGGTAGAGCTTGCTAAGCTTAGAAATAATTTTGATACCCTTAGTCGCGGTTTGTGCACTAAGATCAAGCGTGCATTCATAGAGATGGGGAAGGAGAATAAGTATTATGCTAATTAGATGTCTCCTCTCCCATGAATAAAGTAGTAGTAGGTGCTTGGTCATTTATTTCCAATCATGTAAGCACTTGCTTTAAATAATGTGGCTCATTGGTGTTAACCCCAATGTGGCCAAGTTTGTTTTTGTTTAATAAAGTTCAGGTTTTGAATAAGTGTGGGGGAGATATCCTAGCTTCTGACGAGCACATACTCTGAAAACTGCTGAATTTTTGAACACCTGGGAGACACTGAACTCTGCAGAAAATTACAGAGGGATTGGGCACCAGAGTGGTTCGGCCGAACCAGTGCTAGCCCCAATCCCTCTCAATTTTTACAGGTGAGCAGACGAGCACGTCTAGTATCTATATATTTCCAGGTGAGCAGGAGAGCCCCCACTGTTTTTTAATTAATTTCTATTTTAAACTAACATGCGGGTCCCACGAGTTTTTTTATTTTTCGGATCAAATTGCCACGTAAGCGACACGTCAAATGAAGACTAAGTCAGATTAGCCACGTAGGCGTCACGTCAGCCAAAACCGCCGTCCAAACCGCCGAGGGACCTCATCTGCACTGGTTTTGACAGATGAGGGACTCGTTATATCTGGTTTTGCGGTTGAATGACGAAAATCGGATTCGTCGATAAGTCAAGGGACCTTAGATGAACTTCCGCCCGGAAATGGCATGGAACAAGGCCCAATCCATGTGGATCGGCCAGACACGGAAAGAAACTCGGCCTGAACGTTCGGTTAGCCCTGGTGTGGTCTGAAACCCGGCCTTGACCACGCCCCTGAGGCTCAGAATGAATCCAAACCCCATGGATCGAGCGACTCGAGCGGCGCGGCGGCTCAAGACGACTCAGCCTCGTCGGCAAGTTTGGGATCCACATCTACGACACCAACATCAAGATGATTCAAGTCGGGCTGCTGGCCAGCTTGTACTTCGATCGCCTGGCACAGGAGGTTGCTCGATCGGAGGGGCGGTGAGGATCGGTATCAAGCCGCCAGCGACCAAGAAGCCCAACATTTTTAGACCGAAGGCACTTGGCCCAGCTTATATTGAAAGCTAGAGTATTGCTGGGGTTATCAGCTTACAAACCAGGTCAGTATTCCCCAAGGGAAACTGAGCAAAACACCACCAGCTGCATAGAGAAGATAAAAGAAAAGAGACAAAACACTACTAGGTGGCTAGAGACGCATCCTGATTAGCAAACCACCAAAACAGGCAACACCTCGTCATCATCAAACCTCTAGACAACCATGATTAGCCTTGTTTAATTCCCAAATTATTTTCCCAAAAACATCACATCAAATCTTTAGACACATGCATAGAGCATTAAATATAGATAGAATAATAAATTAATTGTACAGTTTGCATAAAAATCACGAGACGAATCTTTTAAACTTAGTCTATGATTAGCCATAAGTGCTATAATAACCTATATGTGCTAATGACGGATTAATTAGGCTTAATAAATTCGTCTCGTGGTTTCTACGCGAGTTATGAAATTAGTTTTTTTCATTCGTGTCCGAGAACCCCTTTCAACATCCAGTCAAACGTCCGACCGATATGACACCGAAAAATTTTCTTTTCACGAACTAAGCAATGCCTTAGAGAAAAAAAGAGACATTTAAGTCTCGCCGCTTTTAAGATGACCGAGGTCGACCCGTTCTCCATCGATCCTCCAGCAGAAACTCCACAACTGATGATGGCCCTGGCCCCGGCATCTTACTAATTATTACTACTCCCGTTAGTCTATAGATTATCGATTGTTTGAGACGAGACTTCTGGTATTTACTGTATGAGTCAAGTAGAGTATAATCCTAGCTGTTTAATTAGCAAGGTTGGTTGGTTTTGTTCTCTAACATTTCATAAAGGTGGAAAAAATTTGCCATATTATAACTAATAGGTACCGCATGCCTAACAACTCAGGATAAATACGTCTTTTCACTTTCAAGTTAACAGTCAACACACAGTCAACTAATGAAAGTGGTATGAGAGGATGTTCAAATTTGAACCAATGACATATAGAAAGGAAGAGCCAATTTTGTACGGACATATCAAGGATGAGACCAAATTTCAATGGCATATAAGGAATTCTCTCCTTATTGAGACAGCCTAGACAACATTCAGAGTTCACAACGACTTAATAACAAAAAGAAAGCAGAATGCAGAACCAAAATAGAGAGGCGCTGGGAACAACCAGCCTTCCATGACAGGGTTCAGAACAACACAAAGGAACTAAGCACCCCCTTTTTTTCTACTGAGAAACAAAAGCAAGACGAAAACTACTCATCTAAAGTCTAAACCACGACTATCCCAAGTCATCAGGCACATAATCTGTCGTCCGCAGTAAAGATTTCTTCTGAAAATCATCCAAATCAGCCATGTCTCCTCCTTGTACTTCAGCCTCCACCTTTGTAGTATTAGCGACAGAGATATGTAAACCTGCAAAGGGGATTTAATTAGTTTGCTTTCAACCCACTCATTTCTTGTTAACCACAAACCCCAACAACACCCCAGCAAAAACAGCCAACCCCACTTGGGGTTTCATTTTTTGACTTTACAGCTCTCACATCATCCAAAAAGAGAGAGGAACATTATAAGGAATTCTCTCTTGTTAATTGGGTGTGTTCAGTGGAATTATGGGCACACGTACGGTATTAAACTCATCTGACTAAATAACTGCGTCCATCGAGTCGATATATCTGAGAAAAGTATACTAAGTAAGAACAGCAAGCAAGCTATGAATGGACAAATACAATTGCTCTGAGATAAACAGAAATCATGATCTTAATGCTTGGACTAGAAACGACAGAGTTGTAGACCGCAGATAAGACACAGTTTAGGAACGAGCAAGTCTGTAGAACTGCAACTCGGAACAATGTAGAAGGCTGAAACTGAAGACTGAACTGCAACTCCAACATAACAATTGGACTCTGAAACAGTAGTTACCAAATCTTAAACCCCTGACAGAACAGTTACTCCACCACAATCCGAAGCAAAGTGGAATGGACTCGGAACCAAACAGAGGGCAAGGCTTACGGACACGAGCAATTTCAGCATGAATCGATCGTATCAGCAGAATGAAAATTTATTCAGAAATATTAAACTGCAGAGGTTCATGACCCCGAAACAAATCCAACCTTACTAGTGACTACCAAACATGCCCCGACTTAGGAAATCGGAATGGACTCTGAATCAAACAGCAGCAACTGAGTGTAAAACGTCAGACCCGGCAGATTCGAGCATTACCTCATGGGGTACAGAAGCTCATGAAGGGGATGAGAGCAGATATCTGCTGCCGCTGGGGGGCTGGCTGGGGTAGCATCTGGAATCGTCCGTTCCCCACTTGGACGCTGACGATCCCACCGTCCTCGGTGCGGACGAAAAGCAAGCTCGCGGCGGCGCCGATGAGGACTCCAGGTAGGGGGATGCTCACGAGCGCGTTCTGGGTGTGGACCCAATCAACAGCACCGTCAGCGCTGACCTCGGTTTCCCAGAAGCTGATCGTCATGTCGCCGTACATAGCCGCGAAGCTCAGCCTCCCGTCCGCCGCCGGCATGAGCACCGTTCCGCGTGTCTCCTGAGTGATGAACGGCGGGATGTCGACGTATGACAGATGCTCCATCTCGTCGCCGAACCAGTACCGGAGAATCCTCCCAGGGCTCCTGAAGTAGAGCGTGGTCCCCCCCACCAAGATGCTAGGTGCGGGCATGCGAAATCCCCAGTCATCCTCGTCGGCGACGGCGGCCGCGGCGGCGGGCGAAGCGGTCCAGGAGCCGGAGGAGGAGGTGTAGTTGAAGGCGGAAGTGGCAGACGCACCCTCCTCGTCGCGGACGCCGACGAACACCACGCGGAACGGGCCGCCGTGGCAGTCGAGGTGGTCGCATCCCAGGGCGTCGCAGAGGACGGTGGCGGTGAGGTTGAATTCCTCCTGCGCGAACGCCTCCGGCAGGGGCACCTCCTGGTGGTGGTCGGCGACGGGGTCCCAAATGATAAGTGACGACTCATCGAGCCATCCCTTGCCAATCCTCCTGAAGATCACGCGGCCGTGGCGGCTGTCGAGGACGTGGAGGTCGACGCCCTTCTCGGGCACGCGCGGGCGGAAGGTGGTGTCGGCGGTGGTCACGAACCTTGCAACGACCAGATCGCGTCCATCAGCGCCGTCGTGGACGTAGCCGATCAGGTGCGGTAGCCCGTGGAACTCGCGGTAGCGGCGGAGGAAGGCCGGGTCGGTGAGGAGGCTGCGCCATGTCCTGCAGACGGCGGCGAAGCGATACAGCAGCTTGGGGCGGTCGGCGGGAGGCGGAGCAGGATCTGGCGGTAAGCGTCGTTGATGAGCACCTCCACTGGAGGAGCACTGGTCGCCGCCATGGCGGTGGAAGCTTCCTGAACTCGCGAACACGGCGTGGTGTCGTCGGAGAGGAAAGAGGGCGGCGCGGCGTTGGAAATGTGAGGCGGTGGTGAGAAGAGGGGAGGGGAGGTGGGGGGTATTAAAGCCTGACACCCGCACTCCCGCAGGGCAGGAGGGCCCACCACATCAGCGAGATGGCTTCTCCTCTGCCTCGTTCAAAATTCAAAAACTGCTCTTTTTTTTTTCGCTTGGCTGCTGGAATTTTTCGTAATCATTGCAATACTTTTTGGTTAATTCGATTCATGCCATTATAATTTTGTTGTTTGAAAATATACCACTACTATTTACTCCCTCCGTCCCATAAAGAGACGATTTCTGGAGGGGAGGATATGTCCCACAAAGAAGCGATTCCTCCACAGAAATCAAGAAAACTTCAAGTCTATCGTATCATTTGTGGGCCCAAGTGGACAGCGAATTCTCCTTCTCTAGTTCACATTCACACCACAAAAATCTTATCGCCTGCCTGTCTATCGCCGTCTCACGTTTCTCTCTCTTTCTCTCGCGTTTCTCTCCCGTTCCCAAATCGATTGCATCGATGCGGCGGCGGCGGAGGCGACGGGGAGACGCGGCTTCGTCGGCGGTAGTGGAGGCGACTGGGAGACACGGCTTCGTCGGCAGCGATGGAGGCCACGAGGAGACACGGTGGCGGAGGGCACGAGGAGACGTGGAGTCAGCGGTGCGCGGACGCGACAGGGAGACGCGGCGTCGTCGGCGGTGGCGGACGCGACGGGGAGACGCGGCTTCCGCAGGGCAGGAGCCATGTCACGCCCAGAAATTCACGAACCAGAATTTCTAAGCTGAATGTGCATTAAACCCCTGTCCAGGACCATCCAGGGTACACAAACGATAATTGTTGACATACAGATCCACGTCTTATAAAAATATAAAAGATTACAAATGCAGCGGAAAAGAAAAAAAAACGAGCTAAGCCTGAAGACTTGACTCCTGCAGCGGGTGACTCCATTCCACAGGCATCCTTGACGGCAGCAATGAAACCAACTTCTTGGAGACATCTTCAACTGAGAAGGACCTCAACTCTGGTGTGGAGAAAAGAGAGCAAGACTGAGTACTACCTACTATACTCAGCAAGTCATACCGGAAGAGGAGGTATGATGCAGGATATATCCAAGGGAGGCTAAAGGTTTTTTTGCATAAAGCTAGCATTTAAAAGCAGTAGTTGAAAGCAGTAAAACAGTTATAGTAATTAATCAATATTAACCAATCACTGCTCAACGCTACACCACGTTGAGACAGGCCCAAACCACCACCTGAACTAACCAGTTCCATTAGCCAACTAGGGGTGAGACTAATCATGGTGAATCTGTCGACCGCCTATAACCGCGGGCACGGCTATTCGAATAGTTTTACTCTGATCAGAGATGTACAACTGTACCCACAAGACACAGCCCCACGACACATTTCCGTGCGCCGACATGCCACCACGACATACCGGAAAGAGGCCGTGACAGGACCCTTCGCATAACCCCCCTCTAACCGATTGCACCACACCTTAGGGTTCGCCCCCGTCCCCAGCAGGCAACGGGCAGCCCCCCTTTCGTGCCGCGGTGAATCCGGAAGCCGATCAACTGGACACCCCGGCCGACCCAACTCCATCACGCCCACCCTCGCCTTGGTACGTCGGCTAGAGGAAAGCTACACTACAAGCCCAGCCGTTGCCCACGCTGGCTTGTGGTAAGTACGCTAAGTTCTTCCAGGGCATCCCGCGAACCGGTCCTTAATTGCCGTGGGCACGACTAGCAAAACCATGCACCCACAGCCCACTATGTAGTGTATTTTAATTAACTACACCATTGCGGTGGCACTAATTCAAAGCTATGCCAATAATCGAAGTCTATGCTATAATGTGATCCCCCTTTGTGTACTAGTTGAACTAAGCATGGCTAAGCATTTCCTAAACCAACATCTAGTCATTTTAATACCCAAGATATCAATGGCATAAGGTAAACAATATATGGCTGAGTAGTATAACCCATCCCACATGATATTGTAAAACAATGCAATATTTAATAGAAATGCGGGACATTTGTAAATTAGGTACAATATGATCAATTGTAATATATGACTTGCCTTGCTCTCACACTGATGAGACCACAGCAACGTCTTCAAGCAACAGCGGATCGACGAAACGGCCGAAATCTAGGCGACAAACAAAGCACACAAGAAAAACATGCTATAAGACTACTGAAACAGGAAACAAAACCATTTTTAATGGATTCTATACATTTTTATGAATTTACTGAGACTTGAATGGACTTAATCGGTGCTCGGATGAATTAGTTATGATTTTTAGAAGATTATCTGTGTTTTTACTATAAAAGAAAAACCCTTAATCAATTTATTGCGCAATAACTCATCCCAGGGCTGACGTCAGCAAAAAGGGGGCGGCGCCAACAGGTGGGCCCCACGGGTCAGTGGCTCGAGAGAGAGAGGGAGGGACGCCGGCACGTGGGCCCCCACTGGCAGTGGCACAAGGCGGGATGGAGTGCGGCTGGCAGGCGGGCCCCACCGGCCGCGGCTCCAAGGGGGTGGTGCCTGGCTCGGCTCGGCTCCGAGCCGACCGGCCGGCCATGGGGCGGCAGCGCGCGCGGAGCTGGCGGCGGCACACGGTTACCGGCGACGGCACCGCCGGCGGGAGGCGGCGGCGCTGGCGCGGAAGGCAGCGGCGTCGGCCGAAGGCGACGGCGAGTGCATGGAGAGAGGCGGCGCAAACGAGAGAGAGGGGAAAGGGAGGAGAGGGGATCCTCACCGGCGAGTATGGCGGCCGGAGCGGAGGATGAAGGCGGCGGCGACGACTCGACGACGAGGAGGGGCGGACGGGCGGCGGCGACACCTAAGGAGGGAGTTGAGAAGAATTAGGAATAGAGAGAGAGACCACGGCGGACGCCATTGACGGCCGGAGGTGGAGGGGAGGGAGGAACTCACCGTCGTGCGGGGAGGAGGGGGTTCTGGTGGGGTTTAGTGGAAACCGAGCGGCGGCCGAGATGGCTCACGCGGCGGCGATGCTAACGGCGGTGGTGGCTTGGCGCGGCGGCGCCTCTAGCAGTGGCGGCGTGCGACCGGAGCACGGCGGCGAGCGGCGGGACGGCGGTAGGAGGCGCGGGAAGGAGCGGTGAGAGCGGAAAACGAGAGAGGAGGGCACGGGGAGCGTTTTATAGGCGGAGGGGGAGGCGGACGTGGCCGGGGAGGCTCCCGATTTCACCGGCGACGTGGGAGGTGGAGAGAGAGAGAGAGAGTGGGGATTCAAAACCGAATCCCGCCCATTTTGGGCGCGCGGCGTGGGCGGGAAGGCGATGGCGTGGGCGGCGTCGCGGCGACGTGGGCGCGGGAAGTGCGGGCGGCGGAGTGGGGCACGGATGCGGAGTGGAGGAGGTAGGGCGCCGGCGGTTGGAGTGCCGGCTCCAACGGCTAGAGGAGGAAGACGACCGACAGGTGGGCCCCACCTGTCGGCGCCCGAAGGAGAGAGAGAGGGAGGGAGGACTTCGGGGAGGGGAGAGAGGTGGGCCGGCGCGGGAAGGAATGGGCCGACGGCCCAAGAAAAGGAAAAAGGAGGAAAAAGAAAAGAGAAAAGGGAAAAAGGATTTTTCCCGGGGATTTAATATTGCACTTTGCTTATTTTAATTGGTTAAAATTATTTCCAAGGCTTTGAAAATTCCACTAAAATTCCTATTAGCATATTTTGACACGTAGAATCCAAGAAAAATTTCACATGCCGATTCCGATTATTATTTGCATTTATTAATTTAGGGATTCAACTCTAGGTTAAATTAAACAATTTCTTCGAACGATTTATTTTATGAATTTTAAAGCAAGGAGGGGAACTTCAGGGCGTGACAAGCCACCACATCAGCGAGATGGCTTCTCCTCTACCTCGTTCAAAATTCAAAAACTGCTTTTTTTTGGCTTGGCTGCTGGAATTTTTCGTAATCATTGCTTCTTGGCTTAATTGGATTCATGCCATTATAACTTTTGTGGTTTGGAAATATACCACTACTATTTAATTATTTAGACTCATGCCATTATAATTTAATAATTATTTGATTTATACTAATATATACCCATCTATCTATCTATTATATTATTAAAACAGCTTTAAAAGGAGACACCATATTCGTTGTGGGGCTAGAAATTCCCACATTAATAGGAGAAAAAGAAAAAAAAGAAAAGAAGAGTCCAAGTAAAAATACAATTTAAAAATAGCTAAAATTTGGAATTAAATGTAAGCAATAGAAAGAAGTTTCCATATAGAAACCCAATACGAGATTAATCAAAATTTGAAATAAAAATAAAATAAAATCCTAAATTAGCAAAAAAAATAAAAGATTCTAAGTAGGAATACAATTTAAAAGTAGCAAAAATTCGGAATTAAAAATAAGGAATATTAAAAGAAGAGTTTATACAAGAACCCAATACGAGATTAATTAAAATTCGAAATAAAAAAAATCAAAATTAGAAAAAAGAAAAGAAAAGAAGAGTTCAAGTAGAGATATAATTTAAAATTAACTAAAATTCGGAATTGAATATAAACAATATTGAAATAAGAGTACATATAAGAAGCCAATAGTAGATTAACTAAAGTTTGGAATAAACAATAAAATATAATCTGAAATTAGGCAAATTAAATAGAGAGTTAAAGTAGAAATACAATTTTAAAACAACTGAAATTGAAAATAAAAATAAAAATATCAAAAGAACACAATACAAAAAATAAAATAAAATATGAAATTAGAAAAAGAAAAATAAGATATCAGCTAGGAATACAATTTATAAATAACTAAAATTGGTGATAAAAAAAATAAAGATTACTAAAAGAAAAGACCATCTGAAACACATGACGAGATTAATTAAGTAACATGCCTATAAAGGAGCAGAGTGGTGGCGTTTGATGGGACATCTAAAAACTATTAATAAAACACCAAATAGAATCCTAATGAGGACTAAAAAGAAGTACAATGGGCAGGTCGTGAAGCAAACGGTCAAGGCGGTGGCAGGACTTCAGGAAAGTAAAAAAATAAACCCAATGATAATCATATTTGATTTTTAAAATCTCCATAATAATAAAAATGAG